ATAAAAAAAAAAAAAAAAAAAAAAAAAAGCTAGGTTTCAGATACCTATGACAACATGTTCCAAATTTCCATTTGAATATGAATCATCAGGGGATCTTGTTAAAAATGCAGATTTGGACTCAAGTAATCTAGAGTGAAATCTGAGAGTTTGCATTTCTAAGAGCTCCCATTAAGGTCAAACAGCCCACACTTTTGAGCAGCAAGGTTTAAATAGCAAGAAACAAATCCAAGGAGAATAATTTTTTTTTTTTAATCCCCACCCAGAGGATATTTTTCCCATTGCTCTCTAGAGAGGGAGGGAGGGGCAGAGAGGAGTGATGAGGGAGGGAGAAACATCTATGTGAGAGAGACACATTGATTGGCCCTGACCCTGAGCAGGTATTGAACCTACAACCCATGCACATTACCCTGACCTATGGAATCAAACCTATGAGCCTTCGGGGCACGGACCAATGCTTTAGCCACTAAGCCACACTGGCCAGGGTAAGACCGTAATTTGATTCAAAAAAGACACAGCAGGAGAACATTCATGAAGGAATATAGGGAACCAGGTAGGCTAGCAGGGTTTCTTAAAGGGAGACACACCAGGAAAGCAAATGAATTCTTTAAGCTGACCCTGGCCCATCTTCAAATGAGTTTGTAATATACATCACTTTGTCTAGGCAGGTTAAAGTACCCTTTAGTGATCATAAAAGAAACATGCTTCTGACAAAATTCTTAAAAGGAGCACAGTATAGGGAACAAAGTATCCTAGGATATTTCCACTCCAATAGCTGGTGGCCAAGCTAGCTCTTCAAGGCCTTTCTTAAATCAAGTTTTACCCATTCACCTCCTCTCTGTACTTGAATTTGATGCTGTTTCTGTGGACAACTGTAATTTTTTTAAATGCTTATCAAGTTGTCAGTTATAGAAAATTCCAAAGTAGTAAGATGAATCTGACTGTCAGGTAAGGAGGTACCTTATATAGACTAACCCATCTTAATGTGTGTGTTGTGGGAAAAGATCAGACATACAAGGACTTCATATTGATAGGATCAGAGATTAAATTCTAGCTATTCTTTGGGTCAGAAGTACTAACACACAAGAGCCTCCATAACCCCTTAAATGAGATTCTTGAAGACAAAGTGTGAAGTAAGCTGATCTCTAGCTGCTCTTTGCACAAGAACACATCTGTCTGCCAGGAGATACAGGCCAGCCTTGCACACTGGCTGGGAATAACATGTATGTTTATTACAATGCCTGTCATGACCTTCTGGACTAGCCGGGCTTATGCTCAAACTATAGACATTATGAGCCAGTGAGTGATGTCAGGCGGGAATATTGAGCTGCGCAGAAACTGCTGAGTGCGCACCGCTCACCCAGAACGGAAGGGATTTCCCTCCAGTGCACTCACCCGCTAGTGGGGAGATGTGTGTGCCCACAAGAAGTGCCAGGGCCAGACTGTCCCCTGTGCCCAGCCTCAGAAATTCATCCATACAATCACTAGGCTGCCTCCCCGGCTCCTCACCGCTGCCTGCGGCCACGTGCACTCCCACTGCTATGCTACGTACTGAGCAGGGTCATGATTTCACCCACTTGGGAAGAAAGAGACTCAGCAAACTTCTGGAAGAGTCCAGCCTGTTCTTCCCCATTTGTCCCTTGGGGGAAGAAGTTAAGTTTTCCAATAGGCCACCTTCTTACTTAAGCCAGAGCATGCCTGAGCTTTCAGATGAGCATTACAGGAGAGGGCGTACCAGAAAATGTTCTCCCTTCTCATCTTGACGCCTGCAAAATATCTAGTAAGGTCCCATCCCAGGGAACAGGCCAGCATTCCCCAACCCTGACTCTGGTTGTCTTCCAAACTCCAGTCCCACTGCCTGACACAGATCTAACTCCCAACTGTCCTTTGAACACATGGTGACAATCTCTAGCTATTTCCCAAACCATAAGCAAATGTCCAACATTTCATGTTTTTGCTAAGATGCTTAATACCCGCAGATAGCAAGTTAGCAACTATAACATGCTTGTAACTTAACTCTGGCAAATTCATCTCGGAATGGAAAAAAGAAACTTCAAGTCCTATTTCACCCCTGTCCCCAACCCCAAGGCCCGGATCAAGGGACTGTAAGAAGGACTTGACATTATTTGAGAAAAGGAAAACGCCAAAGTTTTCCTGAGACACAGGAATACATGAGCGCAGGCGGGAATTTCTCAGGAGGGATTCACCGCGTGTCTGCGATAAGTTCGGGCTCACATGCGCCGCTGAGCAGAAGACAGGACCCGCTGCTCCACTCCGCGCCCCGCCAGGTACCGTGTGGCGTGGAGAGCGCCAATCTCCGCGCCTGGACGGTTTCTGGAAGCTCGAGGTCGTCTTCGTTGTGATGCGAGGGTTTGGCGCCGCTTTTTAACGGGCTCCTGCAACTCCTAACTCTAGACCAACTGCATGACCGTGGCGCTCCTGCTCTACGAGTAGCTGGGCTTGTGAACACACACTCCCTGGGGACTCTCCCACTTTCCCGTGCCCTAGTGGTCGGCAACGCCGGCCAGAAGCCCAGGAACTGCAGGGCTCTGGAAGGTGGGAACGACTCGTGTCCCGCAGCAACAGCGCCGGCGGGGAGGGCCCGGGCTGGGCGCGCGCCGCGTCCTGCATACTCACCGGGACCTCTGCAGCTGCTCCAGGGCGCTGGTGCTGCAGACCTGGCCCGCGTGCTCCAGGGAGCAGTAGTTCTGAGAGGTCTGCCTGGAGAAGGCGATGGGCAGGATTCCCTGAGTGAGCGAGTTCAGGCGGCCCCGACTGCCGCTCGCACTCCCGGGGGTCCCGGAGCCCAGGAAGGCGGCCGCGGGCACCTGCACGCTGGTAAAGGCGTCGTCTTCCTCCAACTCCTCTTGCCCGTCGGGCAGCTGCGGCG